AAGTTTAAGACCCAAGATAATGGAGTGTTAATATTTGTTGTTGGGCAGACAGGATACACTATGCTGAAGGTAGGTATACATTGCAATTAAACAGATATTTACTCATCTTGAATTTACATTTGAAGTGTGAAATTGCTTGTTTTTTTTCTGTCTCCCTCAGATAAAACACAGAAAGCTTGTGTACATTACCAAAGACACACTGTCAGGCCACCTGTCAGAGTTCATTGTGGACTCCCCCGTGGCCGACGGGTTTTGGCATGTCCTCTCCTTGTTCAGCAATGGACAGAACACATCTCTGCTTCTGGATAGTGAATCCGTCTTGAACATCACCAACCGCAGTATAGATCTCACTCCTGTTAGTGTGGAAAAGATTATTTTTGGTGCAGCTCTGACAGCTGATTCGAACCTACAACAGTTAGGTAAATATACACCCAACATTTCATGAAGTGTTAATATGTGAACCACACATAAAAAGGCCAAAACATGTTCGTGTGGGAATAGAACTAAAATGAAATTATCAACTGACACTTTTTGTTTTGTTGTTGTCTTTTTTAGCATTTTTGAGTAACAATGAACAATTGTCAACTTCATTATTTTTATTGCAGGGTTCACTGGCTGTGTGCAGTATTTCAATGTGAACGGTTACACTCTGCCTGTCAGTGGACAGAGTGTGATGATGGACGTCTGGCCGAGCTCGACTCTTGTCCAGTCAAGCTGCAGCTCTCCGGGTGTCTGCCTCCCCTCGCCGTGCTCTGAACAGGACACAGCCAGGAGGCGTTGTCTCTCTGCACACTGTCAAAACCGGTGGAGTGTGTGTGGACCTGCCGGGCAGAACAGGTCCTGCGTCTGTTTACACAACGTTTCAGACCACGCCTGTGATATCTGCATCTCTACAACAGAGAGCCGTAATCAATGCTCTGAGATGCAGGGCAGTGTGCCTCTGTGGCTCACAGCTGTGATTCTTCCTCTGATCTCCGTCCTGGTGATTATAGGATTGTGTGTTGCCCTTTACAGAGTGAGGCGTAAGAATGCAAAGTGTCAGAGTGATAGCTCGCCAAAGAAAACAGAGCAAGGGACAGACAATGTAGCGTTTCGCTGTGATGACAACAGAACTCTTGCTGATGCTGCGTGTGCAGAAAAAGAGAAACAACACGAAACAATGAGCGCTGATCAGCAGAGGTTAGGTGTGGAGTTTTGCGGTGATGCCAGTCTATCAAGTGTTCAGCCGGTGCCAAACAGTGAGCTGGAGTATTATGAAATCGGCAGCATCTCTAGTGCGATTCACTCAGACAGTGCCTCACTGACACACCACCTGTACGACACAAAGTGTGTGAAAGCTGATCCTAAACGGTGGGGAGATTTGAGGATGCTGTTAGCAGGATTTAAAAAAGAACACTCCAGTGGTGAGAGGCCTAAAAGTCCAACGGAACCTCAAGATGTGGCTTTCCTAAACAAGCAGTTGTTGACTAAGATCGATGCAGAGCACTCCCAGCAAACACCGCCTCGTTACAAAAAGAAGTTCCAACAACCAGAGTTCCTGGAACCTGCACAATGCCTCACCTTTGAAGAAATTAGCAAACTAAACACTCCTCGGGAGCAAACAATGTCACCTCGAGCATCCCCGAGGCCTGAACCTGCCAAGTCCACCACGGTGATCGGTGCTTCGTCTGACAGTGAAACAGACAGCACATTCACCTGCTCAGAGTCTGAGTGTGGACAGTTTTCTCTCATCAGCGCCAGGAAATGTATCCATGACCAGTCATCCCAGTCAGTGTGCAGCTTCAGACACACCTGTCATTCTGCTGCAGGTCTGCATGAAGCGCAGAGTGCTTCATCCAGTATGTTTGAGCAATGGGAAAGTATTTTAAATATGCAACTACCTTTCAGCAGCTATGCTCCTATATTTGAGGAACTTGCATGTCTACCCACTGAGCCCTGTCACAGCAATGATATTCACAGTGACATAGAGGAGACTATCTGATGGCCATTTGGTGTCGTGAATGAGTCAGGTGGAATAATGGTAAATATTTAGGCAGTCTGTTACTTTATTGAAATGATTTGATACACCAAATTTGATTAAAAATGTTAATTAATGAAATGTAAATCATATGTTTTAGTTTACACTTTGACCAGGCAGTGAGAGATGTTTCACATAAACCAAACCTCTTGATCTTTTCATGTTTTCATGGTTATTTGTATATCTTCAGAGCAGCTGGAAGATTTATCTGGTAATGATGGTTAAATGTTTAAAACCCATCTCAAGACAACCACGTTTAATGTAAATCCCACACAAACTATTTATATGCCTCTAACAGTTCCCGTCTTCTCTGTTTCGTAACCTCCTAACTTCTAGTACTATACCTTGGAAAAAATGCCTAAAATAACAGAACAATAATTAATGAGGAATAGCTCCTTAACCATTAGACTTATATACCTGTTCTCCTTTAAAATGTTAGGGGCTAAGGAATTTGAATCCATTGTAAGTAAACTAAACTATATTACCATTCCATTACCATGAGAAGCAATGAAGGAAAAAATAGGATTTTTATCCTTGCCTAGTATAAAATTGAAATTTCAAAGACATATGGACAGTCATGCAACTGAACGTGTTCTCTGCCTCTGACTTCAACTGTGTCTATACATGTGATGAAAATACACTCAAATACAACATTCATGATACAATTTATGAGGCAATCTCAGTGTTTTGGCCATTGCTGTTTACAAGTTAACTGTTTACGGGGAGTTTTACTTCAAGACACATTTTATTCCCATATAGCCATGTTACAATTAACATCATTTAACAAATTTAAATAGTTATAAAAACAATGAATATTGTTCAAGATTCATATGACTCAGGAGCTCCATGCTGTACAGGCAGTAAATGCAGAATAGGAGGCCCCAATTACTCTGCTGGAGGTATCCACACATTCCTATGGATGCGACCAAGTCTGTCGCCATCTGGTGGCTATATTCAGTACTAAGAGCCAGGACCTGGACCTTTCAGGTCAACTAAGAGTCCTGGGCCCTGGTGTAGTAGCCCATTTCTGTAATCTAGTCTTTAATTAAGTGCTTGTGAACATATTTAAATCCATTTAAATCTCGTTCATGCATGTTACTTATCAATTATTATTATAACATGTAAGCACGGGCATCTTGAAAAAGCCTGAGAAGTAATAATTGGCTGATTACCATCAGGTGTGGAGTACCACTGACTTTACCCAAAGCCCCCCTACAGTAAACACACACCTGTTACTGAACAGTCCGTTACTGGTGGAGGTTGGCCAAGTTTTCAGGCTTTTGACAATGGCAAAATGCAATGTACTTGGTATTTTTGCTGGAGAGTAGCACTGCTGTTGGTGAAGACTACATAATTCTAGTGGCTAGTGTAGTGCTCAGTAAATGAAATCCCCAAAATGAATGGAAAATAAACCCTTGTGTGTAAGTACAAGACTTTATCTGTGGTATCTAAAGTCCTCAGACTGCAGGAAATGTACTGTATTATTTCTTTCTATTAGCTCATTACATCCCTTATATGTGTACAGTGCAGTTTTTGTAAAGCAATTACATCTGATATTTCCATTGAGATATCATGATCATCTGAACTGCAGGCTTTACATTAAAGACAAAACTGAATTTACACATCATGCCAAGCTTTAATACAAATAATCACGTTTAATTTGTGCCATTTCTTGCAAATGAAGCCAAACATTTTGACTGGATGACTGAGGTATCATTCTGTTATAAGAATGAAAGTTTTATCTCTATTCCAATCCTAGTTGTTTTCATTTTCTTTATCAAAGTCTGCTTGATATCTTGAGTCTTGAAACAATATATGATGGGATTAACAGCAGCAGGGAAAAGACTGTACAACAATATCAATAGAATACGCACATCTAAACTGAAAGAAAATCCAACAGTATTGGCTACATAAACAAAACACCTGGGAAGGTAAAAGAGGCAAGTGATGAAAAGTTGTGGGGTGCAAGTTGATAAGGTTCTCCTGCGGCCTGCAGCATTGGACATTTTCAAAATAACCACAAAGATAGAGATGTAAGAAAACAAGATGAATGCAAGAGGAAGCAAGAGACAAAACATGGCCATACAGAGAGCAGTGACCTGTACAATTTCAACATTCTCACCACATGCCTGGCTCGTTATAGAAATGTGGTCGCAGTAGCACTGAGCAATGACATTTGATTTACAGAAAGGTAAAGTGAGGGCATAGATTACAGTGGTCAACATCAAAGGCAGAGGGATGAACCAAGCAAACCCACAGAGCACAGATATGTTGTTGTTTGAGATTAGGACAGGATAATGCAGTGGAATACATATTGCAACAAAGCGATCGAGAGCCATTACCAACAAGATGAAAGAAGTTACTGATCCTAAATAATGAACAAAGAACATCTGTGTAAAGCACCCATAAAATGAAATGATGCTATCACCAAACCAGAATTTTGATATGATCTTCGGGAGAGTCAAAGTGCCAAATGTTAAGTCATTCAGTGCCAGGTGACAAAAGACCAGATATGTGGGTTTTTGCAGGGACTTCACCTGGACAACAAATGTTAAAATGAAAATATTTCCTATTGCAATAGCAAGATAGAAGAAAAAGAGCAGAGCTGACACAGGTCCGTAGTATTTTG